TTGGAAATGCAGCTTCTTTAGCCTCGACTGTATCTATAGACGTGGCTGCATCTGACAAACATCGTCATACCCCTTGACTTAACAAGAGGGGAGTTAATTCTCTCACTACTCAATCTGTGGCTGGTGAGCAGAACCGTAGTCTTCATGGACCAAAGCTGACATTTCACCACTCAGGTTATTCCTTGGCCATATTATGTGTCTTTGAGGTCCAGTCAAATGTGTATGCCTTGCAGCAAGGGCAGCGAGAAAACCTAGGGCTTTTTTTTTTTTTTTTAGTTGGATATCTTGCTTCCCCAAACAAAATTTTGCAGAGTGATACTGGAATAGGCAACTAGCCATACTCCATACTTACCAGATTAGAATTCCTAGAGGTGGGGCCCAGAAATTTGTAATTTACCAAGCCCTGTGGGTGACCTGATTTATACTAAAGTTGAGAACAGTTGTTCTGTCTAGGGCTTTGCCGCACCCTGCCAGGAGACCCACCCTTTCACTGCTCTCCAGAAGTTCTCCACTCAGCTGACAAGCCTATCTGCTCCCTGACTCTGACCCCCATGACCTATAAGCTCCCTTCTCATTTTCACATCACCCCCTCTTTATCTGCTGGGCTAGCTCAAAAACCCCGCTGCGGGTAGTAGTATATGGAGACAAGAAGATTTAGAGGACAAAGAGATGGTATATTTCCTTCTTTCGTTGAATAAGTAAGAAAGGAAAAAGCCCATATCTTAAACTATTACAACTTTGGACACAAATCAAAAAGAGATTTTTATTTTACTCCTTACTTTAAATTAAAGTCACCTGTTTTTTTTTTTTGTTGTTTTTTTGTTGTTGTTTTTAACAGTGACTAAATACCACAAAAGCCCAGGTGGCTCAAGATTTTAAAAAAAAATTCAGAGTCTGAATTGCCATGTATCTGAGAATAGGTAGTTTTGAGGATTACTTACTGATACTGCTGCTACCATCTCAAAGGCAGTTTATTTTTATTTTACTGTAGGTATTGCTGGGTTTTTTTTGTTGTTGTTGTTTGGTATTCAGTTTTGAGGCAGTTTATTTTTATTTTACTGTAGGTATTGCTGTTTTGTTTTGTTGTTGTTGTTGTTGTTGTTTGGTATTCAGTTTTATTACTCTTTTGCTTGACAAACAGGCTTAAACTCAATCTCAAAAGGTGGTGGTATGAGCAAAGACAGTGCTTTGTAAGTGATTTAAATGTCAACTTTGCCTGTCTTTCCCCATCATACTCAGTTTTCTAGGTGGAAATACATTTTCAAATGTAAGCATAGAATCCCAGCGTTGGAAACTTTGGTCATCAACCCTCTCACATGATAATAGTTCACATTTATAAAAAGCTGTTTTCTAGTCACTGTCATTCAATTTCACTCTCATTTATACTTAACGATAATCTGGGAAATGGGAATAATTCCCAGTTTACAGATAAGTAAACAAACTCAGGAAGGGTAAGAGATTCTCCGAAGTCTGTACACCCGTGACTTGCAGAGAGAGGGCGTGGATCCAGATAGTTCAGACTCCAAAAATATTGTTTTCATGACATGTTGTCTCCCTCTCATCCTACATATAATAAAAAAGAAAACCAGATAGATGAGCAGAATGGTGTGGTCACGTGACTCCTTTTACCTGCTTAGTAGTACAGTATTAAACTACGAAATTCAGTGCATATCAAATCTAAATCAGACAGTGCTAATTTGATGTATTATATTTTAGACTCCTTTTACTGAGGATAAGACAGCCATTCATTTTGTGGGAAATTGTGCAAAAAGCCGGTATAGTGAAGGGGAATGCGCAAGTAGCAGTACAGTCTGTTCTTAGTTACATTGCTTTATTGGTTAGTATCATGGTAGTTCTTTAATGTAAAAAAAAAAAATTGTTTTATTTTTAGCAATGCCTGTAACTTCAGCATGTTAAATATTAAAATGTAATGCTGGGGCAAGTTTATAATAGCTTGATAAAGTAGTAGTATAATGAATCATTAACTTGATGCTTAAAAATAGCAAAACCTATGTGGCTACAAATTATAGCCTCTTACATATAAAATCCAAGACACATTATGACATCCTACTCTTACCTATATCCAGCTATAAAAGGTTTTAATGGACATATCATTATCCTTTTAGAACCAGTGACTAAACATAAATTTTGACTGGATCTTGATCTATCGGCCACCAGCCACACAAACTTTTTATAAGTGTTTCATCCCTGAAACACACAATGAGATTTAAATAATTTTTTTTAAAGGCTTTCACATACACTAACTAGAAACTATACATTTTTATTCAGTCACCTGGAGCAATATGTAGCTCAGTGATTCTCAGTAGATGGGCAAAGGTTAAGCATTTTTACTTAGAAAACTGAGCTCCCAGCGTCCTATTGCTTTGGTTTGTTTGTTGTTGTGAAAAATATATTTGAGTTTCACATGGCATTAAGAGACATATCGGTTATTTATCAAATGGAGGCATGAAGATGAAATATTGAGGCAAACATTAACAAACTAAAGGAAACCAGTGGTTAAAATTATAAGAGAAAGCAAGTCTGGCCTGCACGTCTAGTAACCGTCCAGAACGCAGTACTATCCATTTCAAGAAAACATTGCCCTTTTGAAAATTTGCATTAGATGTGAAGAGATGAGGCAAAGTACTTTGTGGTTTTCTTTTCTTTAATTGGAATGTATATTCTTGGAAATAGATTATGTCCTATCAACTTCTTTACAAAGTTATTAGTGTCGGATACCCCCAAATATTAGATAAGCATTTCAATCCTATTGCCAACATGTGTACCATAGGATTCATTTATCTAGTTATATAAGAAATTGTGCATCTTTAAATGTCTTTGAACCTAGATGACTAGTACTGTGCCTTTTCTCCTTTCTCAATGCTGAGAGAGATGTCTAGTTATAATAATGGTTCTCTCTTCTGGAGAAGGAAAGAACTCATCTTTCAAAAGGGTAAAACATTTTAGAGTCATTTAGGAATACGCTGGCAGTGTGTCCACAGCAATGTGGTTGGCAGAGGTTGTCCCCAGTCCTGGGTTCACTCATGCACTCAGCAGTGGGACTTTTTCCTTGGCTGCTGTGTAAAGTACTCAGATTGCAAGGGGTCAACTTTTGGGGCAGGGCTGTGCTATTATCCTTAAGGAGAGACTCCAAGGCCGATGGTACTGCTTTAGCTCTATTTGGAAACACGGGGGCATATGGAGCAGTGTGTATACTCCAGAAAATATTTGCTAACACATCAGATAGCACATTAGATAACTAATCAGCTTAGGAAATTTGAGTAACGTCATCTCCCTGGAATTTTATTTTCTCATCTATAAAATAAGAGAGGTTTATCTAGATGCTGTGGCATGTCATCTTCCAGTCATAACAGTGTTTTGTCAGGAAGGCGTGAATGTGGCCTCCCCTCTCTGGTAAGAAATGGCTGCAGCACTGGTCAAGGAAGATGGTGTTGCCGAGTGTTCTTCCACCCTGTCTGAACTACTTCTGCAACCTAGTAAGGGGAAGATCCCTCAGGTCCTGCCGAGTTTCCATATTGCTTAAACTTTAACTCTCCCCTCCCCTCCCCT